GTTTTTTAAATGCCTAGTTCTATTTTTAACTTAATATATGTAAGTGTAAACTTGTTATCTGGCATTTATAAGTGGAAAAAATGGCGTTCTGCTTTCTGGCGATAGCCTGGAACCTAACCTGCCATATAAGTGGGGCCCCTACTGTACTGACAAACAGGTCTAGGGATTTTTTTTTTTTTTTTGAAGTACAATACTGTATATCCCCCAGACTGACTTCAGACCAAGAATATATGGTATGTATTAACTAGACTCTTGGAAAAGACGACCAATAAAATTTTTAACAGCGATTATTTCCACAAGAGTAACAATTTTTGATCACTCTCTACCAAACGAACAAGTCCACAATGCATTTGACAATGAAAACATAATAAAGTACAGTGGACCCCCGATTAACGATATTTTTTCATTCCAGAAGTATGTTCAGGTGCCAGTACTGACCGAATTTGTTCCCATAAGGAATATGGTGAAGTAGATTAGTCCATTTCAGACCCCCAAACATACACGTACAAACGCACTTACATAAATACACTTACATAATTGGTCGCATTGGGAGGTGATCGTTAAGCGGGGGTCCACTGTATCTAGAATTCTACTTAAATTCATAATTATTAAATCTAGTTCTTAACCAATCTCTACTAAACATGAACCCTCCAAAACTGTGTAAAATATATTTAAACAAAATTTTTTTTTTTTTTTTTTCAACAAGTCGGCCGTCTCCCACCGGTGAAAAAATCTAGTGAGCGGAAATAATTCCACAACCCTAGAAAATACATTACCTATTTTTTTTTATCTCAATGGTTATCTCGTACCAAAGCAGGCTGACCCAAAGAAGAAAACACATTCACTATTATTCATTCAAACTGGTCTTGTCAGAAGTATGCTGACATCACAATACAAATTAACCTCTAACATCCCTATCCCTCCTTAAAAGTGCAGGCACAGACCTTCCCATCTCCATAACTAAAGTCCAGCAAACCAGTTTTTCTTAATCCCTTCATAATGTTACCTTGCTTACATTTTAACAGCATGTCCACTTAAAACTATTTGTCTCCAATTACTCTTATCTAACATGCTCACACAAGACTGTTGGAGGCTCAAGCCCCTAAAACACTAGCCTCATTCACTCCCTCCTACCTTCCACCCGAGATTTATACACCCTCTTCATCATCCTATCCCTCTCCTCCCTCTCTATATGCCCAAAGCACCTCAGCAACCCCTCTGAATTAACTCTTTCACTGTAAAGACCCCTGCTCACAAACTTGCTCTCAGTGTTGAAAAAATTAAAAAAAAAAAAAAAAAATTCTTATGAAATGATAGAATCTTTTTCCAATGGTAATGACACCAAAAGTACGAAATTTGATGGAAAACTTACGAAGTTAGCGGTCTCGGCGATATGTACGCATCAGCAATTTCACCCACTTTGAGCCCCATTTTCGGCCAATTCCATTCTTCCAGTCGACCAAACTCATAGCTATTTCACTAGAACTTCATTTGTTCTATTGATTGAGTACAAGAAACCACCCATTTACCGATTTCAACTATTCAATAAGGTGGTCAGAAATTGACAATTTAGCCAATTTCACACAAATTTCAAAATAGAGTCCAGAATAAACAATGCAGACATTCCTGGCACTAAAATAACATTTTCTCTCTTCATTAGTCACGTCTCCAGGCCCCTCTTATATTATTCTTGCTTTCAATTTTGAATTTTTATTCACACAAAAAATAGAAGATTTACTGTTATGCAAACTACTACATTACTGTGACTGCATATTAGACTGGCCAGTTGGACATGTATTGGATGGTGACGTCATTTGTTTACTCTTGAACATTGGCTACTTTGAGCTCAATTTCAAGGCACTTTTCATCATGAAACCAATCAAAGTTATCTCTATTTCTGTATATATCTTCCGTTCTATCAAATGGGGCCAATAAAATGAGAATACAATCATAAATACCATAGGGAAATAAACCTCAAAGTTGGCGTTTTAAACCAAAAACACGGTTGGAGTTTTTTTTCTCATTATGCACTGCGTGCTGCAGGATTTTTTTTATACTGTACACAGTGACCACACAGACCCGTTCTCTCACATGTAGGGGTTCCAGCTTTCTCCCGCTAGATTTGAAACTGTTAGAATTTTGGCGTATTAATACGGCACCGACACTGGCTTGTAAGCTGTACTAATATGACACTGACAGTGAAGGGGTTAAGCCCTTGGTCATCCCACATCACCTTTTAATTTCTGTTCTCAGAATTGCTATTGCAGTGTACACTGATGGTTTTAAATTCCTCAGTGGTGTCAGGTATGCAGCTGTTTTACCTAAATAAATCACAAGAGGTCATTAATTAGAATCAACTAGTATTTTCTCAGTGGAGTTATGTGGCAGTTGTCACTATCATTCACACTGCAACCATGTCATTCATAGTTGTTTTGGACTCCCAAAGTGTATTACAGACTACAGTGGAACCTCGACTTACGAGTGTCCCAACATAAGAGTTTTTTGAGATACGAGATATCACTCAGTCAATTTTTGCTCTGAGTTACAAGCAAACTTCCCCCACTTCCCCCTCAACCCACAACCCCACACCTCACTTGTTTATCTATGATTTCATGCTTTAATTCCATGGAAATCATTCTTTTTCTTCTGAGCAGTGTCCTTTGCACTTACTTTCTTAGGACCCATGGTTAGAAAAAAGAAATTGGCCAAATAACTGTAAAAATGCAAGCAGAGCATGACAAAAATGCTTCCCTAGCGAGGTAAACAGTGCGCTGTGCCACCTAATGGCAGCTTTCTGAAGTTCCTCCTATTATTATTATTATGATTATAATTACAGTATTCCTAGGTAGTAGGTTGGTAGACAGCAACTGCCCAGGGAGGTACTACCATCTTGCCAAGTGAGTGTAAAACAGAAGCCTGTAATTGTTTTACATGATGGTAGGATTGCTGGTGTCTTTTTTCTGTCTCATAAACATGCAAGATTTCAGGTACATCTTGCTACTTCTACTTACACTTAGGGCACACTACACATACATGTACAAGCATATATATATACATACCCCTTCGAGTTTTTTCTTCTATTTTCTTTCTAGTTCTTGTTCTTGTTTAGTTCCTCTTATCTCCATGGGGAAGTGGAACAGAATTCTTCCTCCGTAAGCCATGCGTGTTGTAAGAGGCAGCTAAAATGCCGGAAGCAAGGGGCTAGTAACCCCTTCTCCCCTATAAATTACTAAATTTAAAAAGAGAAACTTTTGTTTTTCTTTTTGGGTCACACTGCCTCGGTGGGATACAGCCGGTTTGTTGAAAGAAGAAGAATTACAGTATTAGAATAAAGGATGAAATCATAGATAAACAAGAGAGGTGTGGGTTGAGGGATGCCACTCTGCCTATCTTCCACCCCCTACCTCTTCTCCCAGGTAAATACATATGTTTTTTTTTTTTTCAACAAACTGGCCATATCCCACCAAGGCAGGGTGGACCAAAAAGAAAAACTAAAGTTTCTCTTTTTAAATTTAGTAATTTATACGGGAGAAGGGGTTACTAGTCCCTTGCTCCCGGCATTTTAGTTGCCTCTTACAATACGCATGGCTTACGGAGGAAGAATTCTGTTCCACTTCCCCATGGAGATAACAGGAAATAAACAAGAACATGTTTATGAGACAGAAAAAAAGGGCACCAGCAATCCTACCATCATGTAAAACAATTACAGGCTTTCGTTTTACACTCACTTGGCAGGACAGTAGTACCTCCCTGGGCGGTTGCTGTCTACCAACCTACTACCTAGAAAATACATATGTACGTACACTTCATTAAACCATTTTATTTCTTTACATTCTTTGTTTTTATACAATATTTCTTATTTGTAAATACAATGTTTGTGTTTACCTTATGAAACTAGTGATATAGTGTAGTTAGCCTCACAAACACTCAGTTTTCTCATATAATAACAGAATGGGAAGATATAGTCAGTGCAGTAGCAACAATAGCTGCCAATACCACTCATCGCATAATGACATATTTTATTCATTCTAGAGTATATATCAATGTTTTTAAGTTATTTATACTGTTTAATGTCATATTAGATGAATTGTGATAGATAAATAAGCTGCAGAGTTGATATTAGTGTCAAATTGAAGTGTGTCCTGCCGCCCGAGAGCAGGATTTCCGCTGGAATGGATTACTGGCATTTCAATTAATGTAAATGAGAAAAACTGATTTGATATACGAGCAAATTGAGTTATGAGCTAGGTCATGGAACGGATTAAACTCGTAAGTTGAGGTTCCACTGTATACTGAATGAACACACTAATCACTCCAACACTATATCCCCACCTGCTTTGAACATTTTTATTTTAATCCCATCCATCAAAGCTGCTTTCCCCACTTTCATTCTACCCACTGCCTCATGATCCTTCGCTGCATTCACCTCAGGCTGCTCCTCACTCATATATCGTGCTATTTCTCCTTGCCCCAAGCAAAAAAATCACCACCTCCCTTCATCACTAGGATTCAACAGCTCATCAAAATATCCTCTCAATCTTTCCAGTACCTAGATGTTTCCATTTTTTCATTTACTCTAGCTAAATATTTGGTTTAAGATTTATTGTATATGCTATCTGTACAATGTAAATGTTTGGCATAAGTTTTTTTTTTAATTAATTAAAATGAAACTTATGCCAAACAATTATATCCTAAAGATCCCATGCACACTAAATCTTAAATTAGATATTTAGTCATAGTAGTAAATTTTAATCTTAACCACATAATGTGATAGATAGTACATGAATGACAGGTAAAAAGTTTGAAAATGGCCACTGGAGAGACTAACACACTATGAAAAGATGAGGGACAACTTAAGTTTACTTGGATATCAATGACTTAATTATAGGAAAAACTCTAAAAGTCTTAAGACTTTATTACCAAGATTGAAATAGTTTTATTTCCAAAGGTTGCCAAAAAAAAAGCATGCAAGCTACAACTAAAGTCCCTCATTTTCATACCTATCATGAGAAAACTTGACAATTCTTGGCCAGGCAATTACAGCGATGATTATAATCGGGATCCCGCAGGTAGGTATTGCCGAGGCTAACCTTCATGTTATCAGGATGTAGTAGTAGCTCGGCTGGTGAAGACTCCTTAGCCCAGCAGGGAACCATGTAGTCTAGATCCAAGAGTTGGGCTAGGTGGCGCCACGTGTCTCCACTGAGATGGCTAGCTAAACGTCCACGCATACGTTCACTGAGCTCTCCACTGCTTACCCCCAAACAAGCAGGCAAAATAACAAAAAATAATTAGAAATATTTTGTGACTGGAGTATGCAAAGAGTATACACATTTTAATTATAATACAAATCTGTGACTCAGTATCATTATACAGTGGAACCCTGGATATCGGCCAAATCGGATTTTGGCCGCTTTTTTGGCCAAAATTGTCCTGGATTTTGGCCAGCAACTTGGAAATCGGCTGTACTGGACGTGTCTGCCCACCACTCTGCCGCGTTCATGAGTCAGTCTAGCTGTGTCTCTGGGTGAGTGAGCAACACTCCATGCATTCATCCAAACATTTTGTTATATTCCATTGTTTTTTGTGGTTGTTTATTGAGTGTGACTGCGAAATATGCCACCATGGACCCAAAGAAAGTCCCTAGTGCCACCCATTTGGTAAAGAAAGTGAGAAACACAATATTATTCAGTTACAAAACCTTGTCCCACTTCAGGCAAATCTTAAAGATGCCAGAAACAGACCTTTCTGGACAGCTTTTTGTGGAACAGGGGTGCAGCGACTCGCAAGCTGGTCCTAGTGCCAGTAAAAGACAAAGAAGGGAAGTAACCCCAGATAGGGACTTGATACCTGAAGTCCTTATGGAGGGGAATTCACCTTCTAAACAATAACCCCCAACTCCCTCTCCCCTCCTTGCCTTCTTCAATATGCCAACAAGAGTCTTCACTAAAGGTATGTAATATTTATTTATCATGAAAATTTCTGCTTTATATTTATTTCTCATTATTTTCTGTATGCAAAACTATAGTTAATCTTTAAAACATGTATTTTTTGTTAATATTTTTGGGTGTCTGGAACGGATTAATTGTATTTACATTAATTCTTATGGGAAATATTACTTCAGTTTTTGGCCTTTTCACATTTAGGCTGACCTTTTGGAACGGATTGCAGCCGAAATCCAGGGTTCCACTGTACAAAGTAAGAAAAAATGTAAATCCAGCTTCTCTCATATATTTCTTGATAAATACTGAATTGTTAAATCTTTAATTTTGTATACAAAACTTACCTCTCCTCTCCATCAGAAGTAGAGTCTGGGCCTTGAATATCTGTTATTGAGATGTCAATACCAGAGTCTAAAGCAGAATGCAATGGAGCCTCTTTCTTTCCAATAAAAACTTCTTCAACTCCAGCTTCTACATTTTCCTCTACAACCTCTTCTCCACGCAAAATAGCCAGGATCTGTAGAAAAATTCTTAAGTATAAAAATGGAGCATAGAATCATTTTCTTCGTTAACAAATCCTATAGACATGACCATTTTCATCCTGTTTCTCACTTGCACAGGATGAGGAGACCTTGAAGATAGGAAAAGCATTAGGAAAAAAGGAAAAAAATATTCAAAGTGACAGATGTAATGTGTAGCTACCTGAAGACAATTCCAGGGGGTCTATGCTCCTAGAGCCCAGTCACAAACCAGTCACTTGGTTGATATCCTGATCAATCAGGCTCTTGGTGATGGATGTATGCATCCTAATGTAGGTACCCATCCCCTCCCAGCTGAGAATGAAATGACTTTAGGAGCTTACCACATTCTGTAATTGTCCCTATGAATGAAGGGAGGGTGTTGAAATTATCTTGGTTCCTTTACATGTACTGAATTATCTCTTAGTATACAAGAGACTAATTTAGCGAAGGGCATAAAAGAGGTCAGAGAATGTTTCGAGGTTCACTATTAGATGGGTACAAGACTTAAGAGATGATCAACATCTCTCTAATATATCCATTGTGTTTCACAGATCATACCTTTGTAATATATCACAGATCGTACTTTTGTAATATATCACATTTATAAGAAATACAAATTACATTTAACTGAAAACCAACATTCAGAAAGGGTTCACAAGATTTATCAATTATAAATGTTTTCATTTATCATTGCTTCTTATGAATATCAAAATTAACCAGTTTAGAGATATTTAGAAAGATACATTATAGTTAAAACTTATCTATGAGGGTGTCAATTTTTTTTTGGCACAAGACACTTAGGCTGAAAACCAATCATAGGATTTTAACCAGACTAAATTCATTGGATTAACCATACCAAATCTATTTTCTTTCTTCCAAGACTTTCATATCAATGTCAATATAAACCTAAGTGATGCTGGGTTTGGACAATAGTGCATGCATGAAAAATGCAGTGACCATTAGCCTTAATGGCATTAAGAGCAGATTTTTACAATATAGCAAATTCCTGGTACGAACAGGGTCACCACATAAAAGCAAATTCGAAATGAAGCAAGGTAAACCTATAATTTTTTTTTTATTAACACATCGGCCATTTTCCACCAAGGTAGGGTGGCCCAAAAAAGAAAAACTTTCACCACCATTCACTCCATCACTGTCTTGCCAGAGGCATGCTTACACTAGTTATAAAACTGCAACATTAACACCCCTCCTTCAGAGTGCCGGCACTGTATTTCCCATCTCCAGGACTCATGTCTGGCCTGCTGGTTTCCCTAAATCCCTTCATAAATATTATCTTGCTCACACTCCAACAGCACATCAAGTCCTAAAAAACATTTGTATCCATTCGCTCCTATCTAACACGCTCACATAGGCTTGCTGGAAGTCCAAGCCTCTCGCACACAAAACCTCCTTTACCCCCTCCCTCCAATCTTTACTAGGGTGACCTCTACCCTGCCTTCCCTCCACTATGGAGTGTATAAGTCATTTAATTTAGTTCCATCCTCTCTACATGTCCAAACCACCTCAATAACCCCTCCTCAGCCCTCTGGATAATAGTTGGGTAATCCCTCACCTCCTCCTAATTTCCAAACTACAAATTCTCTGCATTATATTCACACCACACATTGCCCTCAGACACGACATCTCCACTGCCTCCAACCATCTTCTTGTCACAACTTTGACCCCCCATGCTTCACACCCATATAATAGAGTTGGTATAACTATACTCTCGTACATTCCCCTCTTTGATTCCATAGACAAAGTTCTTTGTCTCCACAGACTCCTCAGTGCACCACTCGCCTTTTTACCCTCATCAATTCTATGATTCACCCCATCTTTCATAGACCCATTTGCTGACACGTCCACTCCTAAATATCTGAATACATTCACCTCCTCCATACTCTCTCCCTCCAATCTGCTATCCAATGTTTTGTTACCTAATTTTTTTATCCTCATCACCTTACTCTTTCCTATATTCACTTATTCACTTTTAATTTTCTTCTTTTACATACCCGACCAAACTCATCCACCAACCTCTGCAACTTCTCTTCAGAATCTCCCAAAAGCACAGTGCCATCAGCAAATAGTAACTGTGACAACTCCCACTCTGTGTTAGATTCTTTATCTTTTAACCCCACACCTCTCGCCAACACCAGAGCATTCACTTCTCTTACAACCCTATCTATAAATATACTGAACAACCATGGTGACATCACACATCCTTGTCTAAGGCCTACTTTTGCTGGGAAATAATCTCCCTCTCTCCTACATACTCTAACCTGAGCCTCACTATCCTCGTAAAAACTTTTCACTGTTTTCAATAACCTACCTCCTATTCCATACATCTGCCACATTGCCTCCCTATCCCCCTGTCATATGCCTTTTCTAAATCCATAAATGCCACATAAACCTCTTCACCCTTATCTAAATACTGTTCACCTATATGTTTCACTGTAAACACTTGGTCTACACTTCCCCTACCCTTCCTAAAGCCTCCTTGTAAATCTGCTATCATGCTCTCTGTTTTACTCTTAATTCTTTCAATAATAACTCTACCATACACTTTACCAGGTATACTCAACAGACTTATTCTCCTATAATTTTTGCACTCTCTTTTGTCCTCTTTGCCTTTATACAAAGGAACTATGCATGCTCTCTGCCAATCCCTAGATACCTTACCCTCTTCCATACATTTATTAAATAAAATCACCAACCACTCCAGAACTATCCCTACCTGCTTTTAACATTTCTATCTTTATCCCATCAATCCCAGCTGCCTTACCCCTTTTCATTCTACCCACTGACTCACAAAGTTCCCCCACACACTCACAACTCACTCCTCCTCCCTACAAGATGTTATTCTTCCTTGCCCTATACACAAAATCACAGCTTCCCTATCTTCATCAACACTTAACAATTCCTCAAAATATTCCCTCCATCTTCCTGATACCTCTAACTCGCCATTTAATAACTCTCCTCCTACTTTTAACTGTCAAATCCATTTGTTCCCAAGGCTTTCTCAACTTATTAATCTCACTCCAAAACTTTTTCTTATTTTCAACAAAATTTGTTGATAACATCTCACCCACTCTTTCATTTGCTCTCTTTTTACATTGCTTCACCACTCTCTTAACCTCTCATTTCCTCTCCATATACTCCTCCCTCCTTGCATCACTTCTACTTTGTAAAACCCTCTCATATGCTAACCTTTTCTCTCTTACTAATCTCTTTACATCATCATTCCACCAATTGCTCTTCTTCTCTCCTGCACTTGCTTTCCTGTAACCACAAACTTCTATCTGGAGTGAGTTCCGGGGTTCAATGTCCTCACGGCCCGGTCTGTGACTTCTGCTGAACACTCTAACACTACATTATTAAACCTACCCCATACATCTTCAACCCTATTGCCTATACTCTCACTAGCCCATCTATCCTCCAACAGTTGTTTATATCTTACCCTAACTGCCTCCTCCTTTAGCTTATAAACCTTCAACCTCTCTCTTACCTGCTGCTACCATTTTCCTTGTATCCCATCTACCTTTTACTCTCACTAGCTACAACTAAAAAGTGATCTGATATCTGTGGTCACCCTATAAACATGTACATATTGAAGTCTACCGAACAGTCTTTTATCTACCAATACGTAGTCGAACAAATTACTGTCATTACGCCCTACATAATATCTTGTATACTTATTTATTCTCATTTTCTTAAAATATGTATTACTTATAACCAAACTCCTTTCTATACAAAGTTCAATCAAAGGGCCCCCATTATCATTTACATCTGGCACTCCAAACTTACTTACCACACCCTCTTTAAATGTTTCTCCTACTTTAGCATATAGGTCCCCTACCACAATTACTCTCTCACTTGGTTCAAAAGTCCCTACACACTCACTTAACATCTAAAATCTCTCTCTCTCTCCTCTACACTCCTCTCTTCTCCAGGTGCACACACACTTATTATGACCCACTTTTTTGCATCCGACCCTTATTTCAATCCACATAATCCTTGAATTTATATTCCTCTTCCCTTCCATAAATGATCCTTCAACATTATTGCTACCCCTTCCATAGCTCTAACTCTCTCAGATACTCGTGACTTAATCCCATTTATTTCTCCCCACTGAAACTCACCTACCCCATTCAGCTTTGTATCACTCAGAGCTAGGACATCCAACTTCTTTCCATTCATAACATTAGCAATCATCTCTTTCTTATCATCCGCACTACATCCATGCACATTCAAGCCTCCCAGTTTTTCTTCTCTTTTTTAATATTTTCTACAGGAGAAGGAGTTACTAGCCCATTGCTCCTGGCATTTTAGTCGCCTCATATGACATGCATGGTTTACAGAGAAAAGATTCTTTTCCACTTCCCCATGGAGAATAGGAGGGAATAAAGAACAAGAATGATTAAGAAAAAAAAAAAGAAGAAAAACCTAGATGTGTGTATGTCTTCTACTTTTAACACACCAGCCGTATCCCACTGAGGCGGGGTGGCCCAAAAGGTAAAAAACGAAAGTTTCTCCTTCTACATTTAGTAATATATACAGGAGAAAGGGTTACTAGCCCCTTGCTCCCGGCATTTTAGTCGCCAATTACAACACGCATGGCTTACGGAGGAAGAATTCTGTTCCTCTTCCCCATGGAGATAACAGGAAATAAACAAGAACAAGAACTAGTAAGAAAATAGAAGAAAACCCAGAGGGGTGTGTATATATATGCTTGTACATGTATGTGTAGTGTGACCTATGTGTAAGCAGAAGTAGCAAGACGTACCTGAAATCTTGCATGTTTATGAGACAGAAAAAAAGACACCAGCAATCCTACCATCATGTAAAACAATTACAGGTTTCCATTTTACACTCACTTGGCAGGACAGTAGTACCTCCTTGGGCGGTTGCTGTCTACCAACCTACTACCTACCAAACCTATAATAGTACATGTATATAGAATATTAACAGTACAACACATGTATTACAGACCCATGGCACCTGTACTAAGCTCAATAAGGCTACCAACATTAAAAATCATCTTGAAAACCTCACTTGTCACATACAATGAATGTATATCATACATCTGAAATCAATGATAGAAGAGGTACATCAAATAAAAGTGAATTCAAATAGAGGAACCGATATACAGAGAGAGAAATCTGTACTGTACTAATATTACAGTCATGGGAAAGTGCTAAACCTGTAGAGATCATACAGCAACTGGGGAATGAGAGGTAGGTAATCAGGTCTGATCCAAGGAAAAGGAGGGTATCTAAAATTTGTTGGATCAAGACACCCCTCCTTGAAGAGCATTTTTTTTTTTTTTAATATGTCGGCTGTTTCCTACCAAGGCAGGGTGACCCAAAAAGAAAGAAAAAACTTTCATCATCATTCAACACTTTCACCATCACTCATACATAAAATCACTGTCTTTGCAGAGGTGCCCAGATATGACAGTTCAGATGTCCCTCAAACTGCCAATATCCCAAACCCCTCCTTTAACCCTTAAACGGTCCAAATGTATATATACGTCCACGCGCGTAGCGCCCCAAACGTATATATACGTTTTCTTTGTCATTCATTCAACATTGCCACAATAAGCCTGAGTCACCTAGACATGAGAAAATGGGTGTGCGCACTCACTGTGTGCCATATTAAAATAACTGGGGATGCCTGGGTACCATATGCTCTTTTTTCCTTTTAAAAGAAAAGATTGTTTTTTCCTCAAAAAAGTTGGGGCGCTACGTGAGTGAACGTATATATACGTTTGGACCGTTTAAGGGTTAAGTGCAGGCATTGTACTTCCCATTTCCAGGACTCAAGTCTGGCTAACCAGTTTCCCTGAATCCCTTCACAAAATATTACCCTGCTCACACTCCAACAGTTCATCAGGTCCCAAAAACCATTCATCTCCATTCACTCCTATCTAACACACTCACACACGCTTGTTGGAAGTCCAAGTCCCTCGCCCACAAAACCTCCTTTACCGCCTCCCTATTGTACTACATATAATCAAGTGGTTGGGGATGTTTGCAATACACTGTCACAGGAATTGTGATATAGTGAACCTTCACTTCCTTGACAGCAATGTTTTCATGGGTAACTGAAACAATCTGGACTGATACTTCATTATAATATCAGCAACAATGCTTCAAGAATAACAAAACAGTACTATACAGCTTTTCACTCAGCGACGTACTCATTCACCGACAACTCAGACTTATGATGGGCTCTCTGACCAGTATGCATACCTAAATAATGCATATTAGAGCTGATTTTCTCTATTCTGTTTATTACAATATAGTACAGTACACTACTGTATAAACATTGAAAAATATACTAAACATGCTATAAATGGTGCAAGTGTGACATTAAAGTAATATCAAAGATGGTTGACATAAACCCACTACCATTATAGTATGCTCCTCATTTAGCGGCAAATTCATTTACCGACGCTGTATTAGTAATGGAGCTCCATTGTTAAGTGAGGAGAGGCTGTAATTAGAGCATGATTGTACTTATAATATGTAAATACTGTGCACTTGTTTTCATTGTGGTATTTTGTTACTCATTAATTTTTTCAGCTCAGAATAGTCCACATTAACAATGAAAAATAGTGAAACTAATACAGATACAGCTTAAATAAATTATTATAGTCAGCATAAGAAGCTGCAGGGACACTTGCCCCTAAAACTTAACAATAAATAATATTTTTTTTTTATTATCACACTGGCCGATTCCCACCAAGGCAGGGTGACCCGAAAAAGAAAAACTTTCACCATCATTCACTCCATCACTGTCTTGCCAGAAGGGTGCTTTACACTACAATTTTTAAACTGCAACATTAACACCCCTCCTTCAGAATGCAGGCACTGTACTTCCCATCTCCAGGACTCAAGTCCGGCCTGCCGGTTTCCCTGAACCCCTTCATAAATGTTACTTTACTCACACTCCAACAGCACGTCAAGTATTAAAAACCATTTGTCTCCATTCACTCCTATCAAACACGCTCACGCATGCCTGCTGGAAGTCCAAGCCCCTCGCACACAAAACCTCCTTTACCCCCTCCCTCCAACCTTTCCTAGGCCGACCCCTACCCAGCCTTCCTTCCACTACAGATTGATACACTCTTGAAGTCATTCTGTTTCGCTCCATTCTCTCTACATGTCCGAACCACCTCAACAACCCTTCCTCAGCCCTCTGGACAACAGTTTTGGTAATCCCGCACCTCCTCCTAACTTCCAAACTACGAATTCTATGCATTATATTCACACCACACATTGCCCTCAGACATGACATCTCCACTGCTTCCAGCCTTCTCCTCGCTGCAACATTCATCACCCATGCTTCACACCCATATAAGAGCATTGGTAAAACTATACTCTCATACATTCCCCTCTTTGCCTCCAAGGACAAAGTTCTTTGTCTCCACAGACTCCTAAGTGCACCACTCACCCTTTTCCCCTCATCAATTCTATGATTCACCTCATCTTTCATAGACCCATCCGCTGACACGTCCACTCCCAAATATCTGAATACATTCACCTCCTCCATACTCTCTCCTTCCAATCTGATATCCAATCTTTCATCACCTAATCTTTTTATCCTCATAACCTTACTCTTTCCTGTATTCACTTTTAATTTTCTTCTTTTGCATACCCTACCAAATTCATCCACCGATCTCTGCAACTTCTCTTCAGAATCTCCCAAGAGCACAGTGTCATCAGCAAAGAGCAACTGTGACAACTTCCACTTATGTGTGATTCTTTATCTTTTAACTCCAATAAATAATAACTGGGACAAATTGTTACTATGTTCATGAGGGAGCAGGGAATGGGAAGCAATCAGGCTTGAGCCAAGGAAATGAAGGTTTGCTCCAATTCCATGGATGAAGAGCCCTTGACTGCTCCGGGAATTAAGAATTCGACAGAAACAAGAAAATCACCTGTTCATTTTCTCCAGCATAATCAACTGGCGTGTAACCATCGCATTCCTCTTCTGATTCTTCCTCCTCCTCTTCTTTCTTGTATGACTCTGTTTCCTCTTCCTCTTCTGACTCTGCAGATTTTTTACCCCTGCTTAGTGCATTTTTGGCTTGTGGGTCAGCCTATAAACAGGACAATTATGGTTTCTTTTAACATCGTGAATAAAATTTTGCATACATACAAAAAAAATTATTTCCTTCCAAGACTTTCAACTGCTACAGTCCATCTAGGAAGAAAAAAGTAACAAGTTACATGTAAAAAAGACAATTATTTATGCTAGACTGCACCAAGACCTGTAAATTGTGCGAGACCAGCCAGCTGTGGTGGCTACATAGGCCGGCAGGCCACTGGTAGTAATAGCTTGGCGGACACACCATTCAATAATGAAGTCTGGCTCAGGCCAGGCTCTAGAATAACTCTTCAAACAAGACACAGGTATGTTATAATTAAATCTACCAAATTGTTTCCCTAATAACAGAAAGAAATGGCAGAGATGTTCTGTATGGGAGAAGTGTTCAGGTTGTACATAATACTATACTTACTAAGCTCTTTGCCAATGAAAAGGCATGCCTACCAATTCTTTAAAATATTTTTCCTTTTTTTATTTTATTTTTTTATTATCACACCGGCCGATTCCCACCAAGGCAGGGTGGCCCGAAAAAGAAAAACTTTCACCATCATTCACTCCATCACTGTCTTGCCAGAAGGGTGCTTTACACTACAGTTTTTAAACTGCAACATTAACACCCCTCCTTCAGAGTGCAGGCACTGTACTTCCCATCTCCAGGACTCAAGTCCGGCCTGCCGGTTTCCCTGAATCCCTTCATAAATGTTACTTTGCTCACACTCCAACAGCACGTCAAGTATTAAAAACCATTTGTCTCCATTCACTCCTATCAAACACGCTCACGCATGCCTGCTGGAAGTCCAAGCCCCTCGCACACAAAACCTCCTTTACCCCCTCCCTCCAACCCTTCCTAGGCCGACCCCTACCCCGCCTTCCTTCCACTACAGACTGATACACTCTTGAAGTCATTCTGTTTCGCTCCATTCTCTCTACATGTCCGAACCACCTCAACAACCCTTCCTCAGCCCTCTGGACAACAGTTTTGGTAATCCCGCACCTCCTCCTAACTTCCAAACTACGAATTCTCTGCATTATATTCACACCACACATTGCCCTCAGACATGACATCTCCACTGCCTCCAGCCTTCTCCTCGCTGCAACATTCATCACCCACGCTTCACACCCATATAAGAGCGTTGGTAAAACTATACTCTCATACATTCCCCTCTTTGCCTCCAAGGACAAAGTTCTTTGTCTCCACAGACTCCTAAGTGCACCACTCACTCTTTTTCCCTCATCAATTCTATGATTCACCTCATCTTTCATAGACCCATATGTATTCCTTTTCATATAATTTCTCACTCTTAAACTTATTAAATACTACTACTACTACTACTACTACTACTAATAATAATAATAATAATAATAATAATAATCATAATAGCTAATTCTTTATTCATAAATGTTTGTCTAAATGTCTGACTATCTTAAGATATATAAATTCAAACACTAAGTTTACAAACTGCCCAAAAGAAATATTTCTCAATTATAATTCATGACATTTACAACAATGACTTCTTAGTACCTTTTATTAAACAGACCTTCACAACTAATAAATAAAATATCTGCTCAGATGAAAATGCAAATAGTAAAATAATACCTTATTCAAAATGTAAACTACTTTTTTTGTGTGTCCTTATATTTACTACAAGAGAATTTTGCAGTTGATCCTGACAAAACTAACATGAAGTTGTGGTGGCATGTCTGGCTCAACCAAAATATCTGCGTTCAATTCAAGGAGAGAGAAGACATGGGTAAGTCTCATAACATCTACTGCCCTTGTTCCCCTAACAGTAAACAGATTCCCAGTAGTTTATCCTGGGTTATTAACACTTCAGAGCTAATTATAGATCTTTTTTCTTTTTCTATTCTTTTAAATCTGATTTGCTGGCATTTGCTGAGCGTTTATGAACCAAAAGTGACAACCACAAAGACCTCAATCTATATATAAGATAGGAGTTTAAGTTTATCTGGCAAGTCCTTGTCTGTATAGTTGCAAAATGCTATTAATGCTAGCTTATACAGTGGAACCTCAAATATCGAACTTTCTTCGGTCCAGAAGGCTGTTCGAGTGCCTTTACCGAATGAATTTATTCCCATCAGGAATAATGTAAATTAGATTAGTCCATTTCAGACCCTCAAAAATACACTGATAAAAGCACTTACAAAAATACACTTACATAATTGGTTGTGTTGGGAGCAGTTTGATTTTTGAGGTTCCACTGTACTAGACATCAATCATACCACTGTGTCAAGTCTTAGCTTGAATTCATTCTGCTGGTATGTCAGCTCAGTAAGAATGCCAATGTCTCACTATATCCATGTAACAGCCAAAGAGCATGCTACACAACTTTATTTTCAAGATGTAAATTTATTCAAAGTTATATCCCTATAATTGCAATAACATCGCCTCATTAATATCTCCTACCTTGAGTAGAAAGCTATAATACCAAAACACAGATAGTACATTAAAAAGCTGATATATAATTTCATTTATGATTTTATGATCACTTCAAATTTGGTCAAACATAGTTGATTACTAGTATTAGCCATGATAACACACAGAGTCAAACATAATTTCAATCATTAATAACAACTTACATTTGCTCTAAGAAGGATTTTGCACATCTCCTGATCTCGTGCTTGGGCTGCTAAGTGGAGCGCTGTGTTACCATCAAACATACCTGCTTCAACGGTCACACTTGTCTGCAATACAAATCAATATTCCAAATTATAACTTAGCACATACAGTACATTATATCAAGACAATAAGTTTTTGAGATTTGACTTCTGTTGGGGTGTTGCAGAATTTATGTGGTACTGCAATTTGGTGAATAATTTGTATTGTGATATTCTTGCACTTCTGGAAAGACAGACAGAAAATGTTTTTTTGGGGTCACAAGGTGCACATTTTTCATGTATCCTTCCAGAAAAGCAGAAATCACAACTCAAATGACCCTCTAAACTGCAACATCACCACTCTTCCAGAGTGAAGGTACTGTACTCCCCACCTCTAAAAACTGAGTTTAACTTATTTATAGATGGGGATGTAAAAGAAGTGAATTCTAAGGTGTTGGGAAGAGGTGTGGGATTAGATGCTGAATCTAATAAAAAGTGGGCAATGTCATCATAAATACATACTTAAAAACTATACATGCATTTGCTCAATATCATAAACATAGGTAAAACTCTCTCATCAATATAATTGATATATACTTACTCTCAATATCTGTATTCATCTCAAATGTTAATCACTCCATTGTGGCTGCCTAAGGCTAATAATCAAAATTGTATGTCTTCTCTACAAGACTTATTAAAGCCATATAGCATGACCTCAAGATTTCAGGTACGTCTTGCTATTTCTACTTACACTTAGGTCACATTACACATGCATGTACAAGTATATACACACACCCCTCTGGGTTTTCTTCTATTTTCTTACTAGTTCTTGTTCTTGTTTATTTCCTCTTATCGCCATGGGGAAGTGGAACAGAATTCTTCCTCTGTAAGCCATGAGTGTCACAAGAGGCGACTAAAATGCTGGGAGCAAGGGGCAAGTAACCCCTTCTCCTGTATACATTACTAAAGTTAAAAAGAGAAACTTGTTTTTCTTTTTGGGCCACCCTGCCTCGGTGGGATATGATCAAAAGTTGAAAGAAGAAGAAGAATAGCGTGACCTAATAGAATACTCTCTCTTGTATTCATTGTAACTCATCTAATGACCATATGTACTTTTTTTTTTTCAACACGGCCACTTCCCAATGAGGCAGGGTAACTCAAAAAGAAAGAAAAAAAATTTCATCATCATTCAACACGTTCACCATCACTGATACATAATCACTGTCTTTGCAGAGGCACTCAGATACCACAGTTTAGATTTCCCTCCAAACTGCCAATATCCTAAACCCCTCCTTTAGCCCTTTGACTGTTTAGGCCGTATATATACGTCTTACGAGCCAGTGTTTTGGACGTATATGTACTCAATAATTCTAGCGGCTTCAAATCAAGCACGAGAAAGCTGGTAGGACCACATTTTATTTATTTATTTATTTTATGTCTTTGCAAAGTACATTGAAATTTTATATTTACAAAAGTGGGTTGCAATGCAAAGAGAGCCTCTTTTATGCCCAGGCATTATGGGCCAACTTAACATTATTGGCTTACAGACTACTTAACACTAAGGATTTTTTCATAGTTGTACAGTAGGACAGTAATTATTTCATAGCTGAACAGTAGATTATTAGTTATAAGTGAATTACAGTTGTATAAGACAAAGGATATATTCATATGGTCTAAAATGCTTATTGTGGAAAACAATGGTTCAATTATATTCCTGTCAACAATGGATAAAAGGTTCAAAGTGATTGTTGAAGTTATGATGTGGGAGTACATAGGTGAGTATGTGTGTACTGAGTATTTAGCATTTAGTCTAGGGTGATTAAGTGGCTTTTGAGAAGAGTCTTAAACTGATTTTCAGACTGGGTTACTTTAATATCTTCTGGTAATGAATTCCATATTTTAGGGCCTTTTATGTGCATAGAGTTCTTACACAGTGTGATAAGGACACGAGGTATATCAAAGAGAGATCTGTGTCTTGTGTTGTGGTCATGTGTTCTGTTTAAGTTTGTGAGGAGAAGTTTGAGTGGAGGATTTATATTTATGTGTATTGTTCTGTGTATGTAGTAGGCACATGAATAAGTATGGATGTTCTTAATGGTGAGCAGATTCAGACTTTTGAAAAGTGGTGGAGTGTGCTGGCGGGAGTGGGAATTCGTTATCATTGTTACTGCTGCCTTTTGCTGGGTTATGAGGGGTTTTAGGTGACTGGATGTTGTTGATCCCCATGCACAAATTCCATATGTAAGATAAGGGTATATGAGTGTATGGTACAGTGCCAGGAGAGCTGATTGTGGAACGTAGTACCTTATCTTTGATACTATGCCTACAGTCTTGGAGATTTTCTTGGTGATTTGTTGTATGTGTGTCCGGAACTTAAGGCTACTGTCAAGGTGGATACCTCTGTGAGTCTTGTGACTGATGATCCATTTAGCATTATGTTAATCGGATCATTTGCAGCTTTGTTTCCAAACTGAATGAAATAGGTTTTATCAGTATTCAGGGTAAGTTTATTAGTCATCATCCAGGCAGATATTTTCTGCAATTCGGCACTGACTGTGTTTGCTAGTATGACCATGTTTGGGTGGGAAAAGACATATGTAGTGTCATCTGCAAATAATATGGGTTTGAGTAGCTGTGATGCATTTGGTAGATCATTGATGTAGATGAGAAAGAGGAGTGGTCCAACGACGCTTCCTTGTGGGACTCCTACTGTGATTGGTTGGGTGAGAGAATGGGGGTCTGTGTGGTCAGTGTGCACTGTATAAAAAAATCCTGCATCACGCAGTGCATGAGAAAAAAAAACTCCAACCGTGTTTTTGGATTAAAACGCAGACTTTGAGGTGTATTTTCCTATAGTTATTATTCTTGTATTCTTGTTTTCTTGGTCTCATTTGATAGAATGGAAAACATATTACAGAAATTGAGATGATTTTGATTAGTTTCACGATGAAAATGACCTTGAAATTGAGCTCAAAGTAGTAGAAATGTTCGATTTTTACCAATGTTCAAGAGCAAGCAAATCACACCACACGTCCAATACACGTCAACTGGGGAGTCTAATATTCTTTAACTAATGCAGTGATGTTATTTATACCATTTTTACAATAATGTGGTAGTCTACTTAACAGTAAATCTTCTATTTTTTTTTAATACAATATCAAAATAGAAAGCAAGAGTAATATAAGAGGGGCCTGGAGACGTGACAAATGAACAGAGGATATGTTATATTAGCGCCAAGAATGTCTGCATTGTTTATTCTGGACCCTATTTTGAAATTGGCATCTTTTTAAATTTGCATGAAATTGGCCAAATTGCCAATTTCTTATCACTTTATTGGGTAGTTGAAATCGGTAAATGGGCAGTTTCTTGTACTCAATTGATAGAAAAAAATGGAGTTCTAAAGAAACAGCTATGAGTTTGGGTGACTGGTACAATGGAATTGGCCGAAAATAGGGCTCAAAGTCGGTGACATCGCCGATGCGTATATATTGCCGAGATCACTAACTTTGTGGGAGAGTAATTCCATTAGTTTTTGATCAAGTTTGGTACTTTTGGTGTCATTACAATCAGGAAAAGATTCCCTATCATTTCATAATTTTTTTTTCCAAAAATTTTTTGACACCAGGAGAGACTTCAGGATTTGGGATTGCAACAGTCAAAGGGTTAGAGTGCAGGCATTGTGCTTCCCATTTCCAGGACTCAAGTCTGGCTAACCGGTTTCCCTGAATCCCTTCACAAAATATTACCCTGCTCACACTCCAACAGCTCGTCAGGTCCCAAAAACCATTTGTCTCCATTCACTCCTATCTAACATGCTCATGCACGCTTGCTGGAAGTCCAAGCCCCTCGCCCACAAAATCTCCTTTACCCCCTCTCTCCAACCTTTTTGGGGACGACCCCTACCCCGCCTTCCTTCCCCAATAGGTTTATATTATTATTATTATTATTATTATCACACTGGCCGATTCCCACCAAGGCAGGGTGGCCCGAAAAAGAAAAACTTTCACCATCATTCACTCCATCACTGTCTTGCCAGAAGGGTGCTTTACACTACAGTTTTTAAACTGCAACATTAACACCCCTCCTTCAGAGTGCAGGCACTGTACTTCCCATCTCCAGGACTCAAGTCCGGCCTGCCGGTTTCCCTGAACCCCTTCATAAATGTTACTTTGCTCACACTCCAACAGCACGTCAAGTATTAAAAACCATTTGTCTCCATTCACTCCTATCAAACACGCTCACACATGCCTGCTGGAAGTCCAAGCCCCTCGCACACAAAACCTCCTTTACCCCCTCCCTCCAACCTTTCCTAGGCCAACCCCTACCCCGCCTTCCTTCCACTACAGACTGATACACTCTTGAAGTCACTCTGTTTCGCTCCATTCTCTCTAAATGTCCGAACCACCTCAACAACCCTTCCTCAGCCCTCTGGACAACAGTTTTGGTAATCCCGCACCTCCTCCTAACTTCCAAACTACGAATTCTCTGCATTATATTCACACCACACATTGCCCTCAGACATGACATCCACTGCCTCCAGCCTTCTCCTCGCTGCAACATTCATCACCCATACGCTCTCCAAGTCATTCTACTTTGTTCCATTCTCTCTAAATGACCAAACCACCTCAACATCCCCTCTTCAGACCTCTGACTAATACTTTTAGTAACCCCACACCTCCTCCTAATTTCCACACTCCGAATTCTCTGCATAATATTTACACCACACATTGCCCTTAGGCACGACATCTCCACTGCCTTCAGCTGCCTCCTCACTGAAGCATTTACAACCCATGCTTCACACCCGTACATGAGTGTTGGTACCACTATACTCTCGTACATTCCCTTCATTGCCTCCATGGGTAACGTTCTTTGTCTCCACAGATACCTCAATGCACCACTCACCTTTGTTCTTCATCAGTTCTATGGTTTACCTCATCCTTCATAAACCCTTCTACTGACAAGTCGCACTCCCAAATATCTGAAAAATTTCACTTCCTTCATACTCCCTCCCTCCTACATTCTTAAACCTACCCCATACATCTTCAGCCCCATTGCCTATACTCTCACTAGCCCATCTATCCTCCAATAGTTGTTTATATCTTACCCTAACTGCCTCCTCTTTTAGTTTATACACCTTCACCTCTTTCTTACTTGCTGCTTCTATTTTCCTTGTATCCCATCTACCTTTTACTCTCATTGTAGCTACAACTAGAAAGTGATCTGATATATCTGTGGCCCCTCTATAAACATGTACATCCTGAAGTCTACTCAATGGTCTTTTATCTACCAACACATAGTCCAACAAA